ATGTCTACCCAGATTACTAGGAGCCCATAAAGCAGGAGATGACCATAAAAAAAAATATATAAAAGTCCATTCACTGTCATTGAGCTTCAGATCAAAGGACCTTTTATCCAGGTAAGAACCAAAGTGTATCCATCATGGAGAGATATAGAGAGCACCATCATAGGATCAGATGGGAAAAGACTGACATGTGACTGGTTTGGTTGGTATCCCAAAAGGACAAACAAACTGGAACATGGGAGCCAATAAACACCAGATGCTAGTGCCCAAAGAGTGTACTTTACATTAAACATACAAAACACCCCAAAGCCACCCAATAGCAACACAAATACAGAGGTACCATTCTCCATATTCTGGATAGTCAAATCCAAAAGTGTAATGGTCCTAGCATGGTAGGTATACGTGGATTTCAGATTGAACTAATTTTATCCCAATAAATCTACAAACCTCTCATCTTCCTGAGGTTCACCATGCCAGAGAATGAGGACGTCATCGATGTACCTGAACCAACCAGCGATGTTGCTCAGGTACCCTGACAAGGCCTCATCCCCAAGCACTGACTTCTCCCATTCTTCAACATAAAGAATAGCGTAGGCCGGTACACATATTATTACCCATTGTAGTGCCTTATCTGCAAAACACTGAACTCCAGCTACTGCCGACAAGAAGGGAAAGAGAAGATTTAACACGTAAACCCTGATCATCGGATCTCATTTTATGATAACAGATCAATGATCTCTTATCAAAGTTGGGACCGTTTCTCCAACCGATTAAACACTCTGGAATCCCCAGCTATATCTAACGTTCTGCTTTCTCATTTGTTCAAGTAATGGTTCAATATTCTCCTTCTTATTAAAGTTTCCACTGCTAGGTCAGCAAAGATCTGCAAATGTATATCTCCATATTTTATTGCTGCCCTTCCTTTTATCTCCTTCCAAAGCTCCTCTTTATCCCGGTAATAATGTAATTGTACAATCACATCTCTCAAATTTTCTCTTCTACCTTCTTGCCATAATCTTCCGATTCTATATACTTTATCAGTTTTAAGTGGCTCTGTTGCAGGTCTGTCCATTACTATTACAAGCATTTTCCCTGTTGTTTCCATTACATTTTCTCCTTGGGAAGTCTCTGGGAAACCTCAAAATCCTTAAATTGCATCTTCTATCCCTGTTCTCCTGATTTTGCAGTTTATATAGCAGATTTCTCTGTTCTTTTCTCATTTCCGTCATCTGTCTCTATAAATTTATTATGGCTTGGGCATGTTTATCCAATTCTTCCTCCGTCTCTTCTACCCTCTTCAATACCTGCCCCAAATCTTTGTGCAGTTTCTCCATCTCCTGTTTTTATTGACTTTTCTAACCCTTTAAACATTTCTGCAATTTCTGTTTTAGTGGGTAATTGAGAGTTCTTTTTTTGTTCTTCTATGTTCTCCAAATCCGCTGTTTTTCCTGTATCTCCTTCCTCTATATCCTGACTAACGTTGGTCATGTCCAGGGACAATCTAGAGCATTCTCCAGTGCTTCCATCTCTGTTCTTCCACTTATTCCTTGCTGTCTCTCGGGGGTCTGTTTCTCTTGTTGGGGTATATTTTTGTAATTGAGCTTGTCTGGGAGGCCTTTGGCCCTCCTCCTTTTATCCCTTTATTTTTCATACTGTTGTCATTTTTTTCCCTTTTCTCCTTTCTCTCCCCTCCTATAGACCTCTGTTAGTATCCAGTCCCCTTTTGGGTCCTATTGATTTTAGTTTATCCTCCTTCCCCTTCTTCTTTTTCAGGATCCCCGGGGTTCTGTCCCCTGGGTGCCCCCCCCCCTCAGACTTACTTCACAGTTCCAATCATTTTATAATAAGTTATTTCATTTAAATTTTTCCTTTTTCATTTCATTTCAGTCACCATCCTGATCTCTTCTTCCTCCACACCAGATGATTCAGTCTTCAGATGGGTCTTCTCCTGAATGAGCGAGATGTCTGCTTCCCTGGCTGTTGGTACAGCTTTCGGGGGGGGGGGGCTCTCCTCAGTGCCCCTACAGGGGACCCAACAGCTCCAGCCTGATGGTATCCAGGAGGGGGGGGGGTGGTAAGGAGAGGGGAGAGAGGTCCGCCACTTTCCTGCACTCCTTCACACCGCCAGCTTCTTCTCCCAGCTCCCAGGACTCCTTTGCGGCAGCGAGTCACTGTGACCGCTCGGCATCCACGCTGGATCTCTGCTCTCCTCCTCCTCCAGCCTCAGCCACGCTCTCACTCTCCGTCACCGGCCGGCCAGCCCAACCTGGAAGGGTCCGCACTCCTCGCTCTCCTCCACAGGGGACCACTCCTGATCCCAGGTAGGTCACGGCAGCTGCTCCTAGGGGATTTCCTCCTGTGCTCTAGCAGGACATTGGAGACGCCTGGTGCTGGGAGATCTCACATTGATCTGCCGCTTGGTGCCATGTTCAGGCTCCTCCTCTGCAAACTAGTTTCCTTCATTTATTGATAAACACCATAAGACCAATGAAGTGGGTGTAAAGTGGAAGCAGTGGATGTGCAGGGAGCAGCATCTTGAGCACAAAGCACTTTATGTTGTGGATGGATTTGCACACGGTTCAGTTTCCTTCATTTATTGATAAACCCCATAAGACCAATGAAGTGGGTGTAAAGTGGAAGCAGTGGATGTGCAGAGAATAGGATTTGGAGCCCCGAGCTCTTTATCTCTGAATGTCTCCACATATTTGTAGTGTATTTGTGATGATTTCTGTGCACACACACAATAGGACAGCGCTGTGACACATAATGCTCTTCTAGATGACAGGGAATCCTTCCCTTTGTTACAGCAGCAGTCCGCTAGAAGGTTTTTGTAGGTTTGGAGTTGTTACACATAGCGCGGGTTTTATCCATTTATAGTGATGACATCATTGCCCAAATCTGGGGGTCACCAGCCATTTCCACCCTTTACTCCCAGCTGGGGGGCTTTGTATCCATATACCAGATGTTCTACAGGACTAAATCTGCAATCAATGTTACTGCAAAATCAAAGGGGCCAAAACCCCTCCCCCGAGCAGTCATATATTTCTGTCCCCCTTGGTGGGAGTGGAGGTGACCCCTCTATAAGGATCTACAGTCCATACACACCCAGCACAAGGCGGGGTCACACTACCAGACGCTTCTCGGGGCTGCAGTTCCTCTGAGCTCCACAAGGTGGGGATCTCACTTCTACCCAGACAGGAAGTCTCTATGGAAGACAGACAGGAAGTGATGTCAGGTACAGGCAGGAAGTGATGTCAGGTACAGACAGGAAGTTCCAGGGCAGAGGTGAATCAGGAGGAAGTAGAGAGGAGACATTCCTGGATCTGGCAGCAGAGGAGGTAATATGTAGATGAACCCCTTCAGGGGGAGGAGTTGATGATAATATATTTGCTCCCAAAGCTGGCCTACATGGTTCAGTTTTATCGTTCAGCCAGCGGGATGACCATAAAAACTGAAGCGATTCCCCCATCCACACATTGGAGGTGGATGGGGGAATCCTCCCCGCTGCACTCTTGTATTCTGACAATGGGGGACTCCTTCGCTCTCAGAATACACAGATCAGCACTGAAGCTATTGGCTGCAGCCGCTGGGGGAGTGGCTTTTATCCGGCAGTGGCCACACATGGATGGAAATGTGAGCGATCCCTGCTGAACCAGCTGAATTTCCATGGATCTATGGTCACCTTCAGTGACTTCCTCCCCTCCCCCTCATCTCCTTCATGATGGAAGTCATGCTGAGATCATCTCCCATTGGCTGAGCAATATTCTCATTTGTCTCTCAGCTCCTTCTTGCTATTCCTCGTCCTGCCTGTTGTTTCCTTGGATTGATTTTCTGTGTAGTGACCCCGGCTTGGTCTCTTGGATGCGCTCGTCTGTTGCTTGCCCTGACCTTTCTCCTGATTCCTGGATCTCCTCCTCATCTCTCCTCCATATCCTCTTACACAGCTTTTCTCCACACCTGCAGTGACCCTGGGGGGAGGAAACTTGGCACCAGCACATCTGGAGAAGTCTGGAGATCATATGACATCACATTGCCTCCACCTCCCTCCCTGATAGAAGAGAGAAAGAAGAAGAAGATTCTAGAAGTCACCAGAGAGATCACTGAGCTGCTGACAGGAGAGGTGAGCGGTGCCGGGAATTCTGGGACATTCTCCAGTAACAGACAAGGGATGTGTCTGGATGGTGACTGTATCATTGTGTGTGTCAGGTTCCTATAAGGTGTCAGGGTGTCACTGTCTATTTCTCCATGGAGGAGTGGGAGTATTTAGAAGGACACAAGGATCTCTACAAGGACGTCATGATGGACAATCAGCCGCCCCTCACATCACCGGGTAAGAGAGACTTTATTGTAAAGGAGAGAGCAGTACGGAGGATCCACCTAGATCCCCCATCATCTGATAAACACATAGAAACAATGGATTCAGTCAGTGTGTGTGTTTCCTACAGATGGATCCAGTCATGGGAACCCACCAGAGAGATGTCCCCGTCCTCTGTATTCCCGGGATTCCACACAGGAAGGTCACACCATCCCTCACCATCAGCAGGTAGATGATAGACAATTATTGGTAGTTGTGTGATTTATACACAGCATGTTTGTTACAATGAATGTTTTATTATATCTTTCAGAGTGGAATCCTCGGGGATGATAATATTGATGTTAAAGAAGAGTATAAAGAGGAGGATGAGGAGTATGGAGTGATGGAGGAGTTTTCAGAAGGACACAAGGATATGATGGAGCCACCTAATACCAGGAACCCACCAGAGAGATGTCCCCGTCCTCTGTATTCCCGGGATTCCACACAGGAAGGTCACACCATCCCTCACCATTACAAGGTTGGTGGGATGGAGAATCTAGAACATGGACTTGTAGAGACTATGGGCTCCAATCACAAAGCGGTATCTTCCCGTATCCCAGTATGTAGTAAGATGCTGCATTATTTTTTTTAGTAGTGAAGCCTGCGGGGAATTTACCGCTGGTGTCCATAGCAACACTTGTAAATAGCTTGTTGTTAAGGAGAGGGCAGCCACCAGTGTCCCCAACAACCAGTAAACAAGGAGCGGACAGCCTCCAAGTTCCCCACTGACAGCTGTGACAGGTCTGGTATGGGTTTTTGAGTGAAACCCCCGATGCCAAAAATAATAAAAAAATGTTGTGGGTTCCCCTTCAAAATCAATACCAGACCCTTAGTGAGTGCCCACCTTCCTCCTGAACCATAGTAGGCCACATATCCTCAACATGGGGTGGGTGCTTCAGGTCAGGGGCACTCTGCCCCCCCTCAAAAGCACCTTGTCTCCATGTCGATGGGGAAAAGGGTCCCTTCCCCACATCCCTGGGCAGTGGTTGTTGTGGGGGGCTGTGGGTAGGGGGCTTATTGGAATCTGGAAGCCACCTTTAACATGGAGGCCCCCCAGATCCTGGCCCCCCCACAATGTGAATGAGTATAGAGTACATAGCACCCCTATTCATTCACCAAAAAAGGGTAAAAAAAAAACACTGGAATAAATTTTTGACAAAATAAATAATATCCCCCTGATATGTATTTCTTTCATTTTGGCATTGGGTCCCCCTCCAAATCCATACCAGACCCGAGGGGGGACTCCACGCCATTTTCTTAATATTTCATTGCCGGTAATTATTTTTTTAAGATTTATTGGTTAGGACGTGGCGGCGGCTGCTCGCTCCCTAACAACCATGTTGTTTACTGGTTGTTAAGGATGCCTCCTCGATCCCCTACAGTCCGGCTTCCGTCCCCTACACTCCACCGAAACTTCCTTACTCAAACTCTCCAACGACCTGCTAACCGCCAAAGCTAATGGCCACTATTCAGTGCTCCTACTCCTTGACCTCTCTGCTGCCTTCGACACAGTTTTGACCACCCCCCTCCTCCTCAAAAAACTACACTCCCTCGGCCTCAGAGATTCCGCCCTCTCCTGGCTCTCATCCTACCTGTCACAACGCTCTTTCAGCGTTACCTATAATGCTACCACCTCCCCCTCACTCCCCCTCTCTGTTGGGGTCCCTCAAGGCTCCGTCCTCGGGCCCCTTCTCTTCTCCATCTACACCTCCTCCCTTGGCCAACTCATACACTCTCACGGCTTCAACTACCACCTCTATGCCGACGACACACAAATCTATCTCTCAACCCCCCACCTCACCCCCTCGGTCTCAGCCCGAATCACACACCTACTGAGTGACATATCAGACTGGATGTCGCTCCACTTCCTTAAACTGAACCTCTCCAAAACCGAGTTTCTTGTCTTCCCCTCAGCCTGGACACCCCCCCCATTGACTTCTCCATCACATCCAACAATGCCACCATCAAACCCGCCCCCGCAGGCCAGAGTACTTGGTGTCATTCTGGACTCCAACCTATCCTTCCAGCCCCAAGTCCAATCTTTAACAAGCTCGTGCAGACTCCACCTCCGCAACATCGCCAAAATCCGCACGTTCCTAACCCCAGAAACCACTAAACAGCTCATCCACTCCCTCATCATATCATGACTGGACTACTGCAACTCCCTCCTCACTGGCCTGCCTCGCCGCTGGCTATCCCCGCTTCAGTCCATCCTGAATACGGATGCCAGACTCATTCACCTTTCCAATCGCTCCATCTCTGCCACCCTCCTCTGCCAATACCGCTCCACTGGCCTCCACTCAGTGTCCTCCACCCCCCTCTGCCAATCCCTCCACTGACCTCCACTCAGTGTCCTCCACCCCCCTCTGCCAATCCCTTCACTGGCTTCCGATTGCCCAACAGATCAAATTCAAAATCCTAACACTGACGTACAAAGCCGTCCACCATACTGCCCCGAACTACATCACTGACCTAATATCCAAGTACCACCCAAACACGCACACTCCGCTCCTCACAAGACCACCTTCTCTCTAGTTCCCTGGTCTCCTCCTCCCATGCCCGCCTCCAGGGCTTCTCCAGGGTGTCACCCATCCTCTGGAACTCCCTGCCCCAACCCATCAGATTATCACCTACTCTCCTCTCCTTTAGGCGCACCCTGAAAACCCATCTCTTCAGGGAAGCCTTACCCCACCCCCTGCTAACTTGCTGACCTCCTCCACTCTTCCTACCACTCCATCCCCCACAGCTATCTCCTCCTGTGCCACCATCCCCTCCCTCCTAGATTGTAAGCTCCAAAGAGCAGGGCCCTCGATCCCCTCATGTTTTGCATTGCATTGGTATTGTTCTGTCACATGTTCTGTCCCCCTTTGTAATGTACAGCGCTGAGCGAACTATTGGCGCTTTATAAATACTGTATAATAATAATAATAATAATAATGCCAGCGGCCGCCCACTCTATACCAAGCAGTACACATTTCCTGAATGCCGCATGTCTCCACCACTAATTAATGACCGCATGCATTTCATTCTTTATTTCCTTCTGTGAATGTAACGCCTGTTCATGCGGTATTTACTGAGCGTGTTCAGTGTTTGTGGCCAATACCGCAACACGGGATAGGAAATGGACAGTTTCAGGATGGCATGCGGTA